ATCACATGTGCAACTGCCTGATACGTATGCACAGGAGAAAATGTTATCCAGTGAATTTTCCCCGTTTAAAAAAAAATCCCATGGCTTCAGAAGTTTACAGTAAGTAAAGGACTCTGTCCACCATCTGGCATATCAAGCATACAGTGCTCGACTTAACATTTTTCCAAAGACCAATCAGCATTTGGTGGTGTGGTCAACACCAGCCGCCTTTAATTCCCAGGACATTCACCGTACCCACTTTAGTTTGGGGCATTTCATGAGCCAAAGTCAGTTCTGACAAACCTGTTGCCTCAAGGTGGATTAGAGCCCTATATTTTTGGATCAGATGGTAAACACCCTCACTTTCTGAGTAACCTTTAACCCTTTCGCTGCTATGGACGTCTTTTCCCGATTTCCCGTACGCTGCTACGCCGTCTTTGGACGTTATTTTTTTTTCTTGACCCCCAGTGCTATGGACGTCCTAAGCCGTTTTTGGACTTTTCCTACAGATTTCTGTTACCTCGTATTTTATTGGCTGATGGTCAATATACATTAGCTATATTTAGATTAAACTGACCCATTTACATATGATAAAAAGCACTTGCACGTACTTTTAGGCGTGTTTACTGCATTTTGCGTTATCCCGTTGCTTTGTTTACCGTGACAGCGTGGTCGGTGATCTGTGTATTTTGTGCCCTGATATATATTTGTGCTTTTGTATTATTCTACACTTAGTACAAAATGGCAAGAAAACTTGTTAAAGTTGATGAAGAATTTATGGAGTTTCTGTCAAGAAGTGATAGCGAAGACGACTTTGAAATGTTTACTTCTGACAGTGAACAAAAAGATTTGACTAGGCCATCAATATCGACTGCTGAAACCGTCGTGTCCAAAAAAAGCTGTTTGCCTGTCCGATGTCCTCATTGTCGGAATCAGAGAGCAGCGACAATGAAGCACCATCAAAACGGCAATAAATTGATCAGTTGTCTTTATGAACCGTTGATTTGAAACCACTAGTGCATAATTTTGATGACTCCAGCTCTAACTGTATTTCTGCTACTGAAAATTCAAACAGTTCAGTCACTAAACATTATCGTCTTTCCCGATGGACAGACACAGATTCGGACGAACTTTTTTTTTTTTTTTTGCTGTCTGTCTGCTAATGCTTAGAACAAAGAAACTCAAAATAGAGTACTTGAGCAAAGACTGTTTGCTAAAAACTCCCGTGAAATAATGTCGACGGACATATTTTTACTATTGTTGAGAATCTCAAACATTTCTCAGACAACAGTGCTCATGCAGGCGGCGATAGACTACAAACTTAGGCACGTTATTGATAGTCTGCGTACATCAGTCAGTATTATCATTCACACAGCAAAATACGTCAAGCGGTAGTATAGTGTAGTTGGTATCACGTTCGCCTTAGAATCAGAGGGTCGTGTGTTCAACCCCCGAAGTCGTGTTTTTATTTTTTTATTATTGTAAATTTTCCTTTCAGTTCCTGCTACTTTTTCTCAACGGACAACTCAAGTATTATTATTAAATTTTTTTTATTATTTTGGTATTTAATAACATGGTGACTACAAATAACTATGATTAAAGTGGCAGCCGCGGTAGGTTCGTCAATCAAATTTTGGGATACGGACAGGGAACAGTTCTTCCCATTAATCCCCCCCCCCCCCCCAGAAGGATGATAGCTCCGTTAGTCAAGTTTGTGGGCCACCATCGTGCCTCTGACTTGTCACCACTCGGACCAACCACACAACTCCCCAGGGTACATTTTTTTGGGTGTACAAAATATAGCCCTCACCGCCGACGCATCTCTTGCGTTTGGAGGATAGAAAAGTATTGCGCACAGCAGAGACTTTTTTTTTTCACATTGCTTAGCACAGGGAGGACAACTATTTCCGGGAACGTAGCAGCAAAAGGGTTAAGGCTGTGCTGACCTAGAAGCCAAGGTGAATGTTGAAGAAAAATCAGATACTTACCCTAGACCTTAAGCCCAGGTAAAAGGTCATCTCCCGGAAAGCAAAGGTGACCAGCATGATGTTGACACCAAGTCCAGGCGGTGGGCGTCTAGTAACTATGCTACAGCCCTCAGAAGTTTATGGTACGGCATAAATATCAATTCTCAGTATTCCAACAAACAAAACTTCGACAGCAGACTATATTTCAGCTTTCATACATCTCTTCAACAACACACAGAGTCAGACAAGTCCATTAATGGAAACAGCCTTAAATATTTTCAAGAATACCACTCCTCCCAAAACAACCTCCTTGGGCACATAGCAATTCTGGTTGGTCAACTCATTCTACAGCCTCCAGTAAGACACTGACACAATGAAGTGCAATATATGTCCACTCTCTCATGGTCAGTACTCCAGGCAAATTGTGCTGTTTTTAATCATGACCAAAATCTGACACTGTGATGATGGTTTGGGAGGAGGTGGTTTCTAACCACTTCTAGCTGTAAAGACCTGAAATAAACCATGTTGCTTTTCACATCAGCATGTGCCTTGCCAGCTGGCGTAGGCATTCATGAATCTTTACAGAACTCATTCTTTGGTCTGAATCAATTCCACTGATGATATTCCTCCATGCCTCTGTCTCAAGCCATCCACCATCATTTCTCCAGCTCTACTTTTTTCATTACATGAGCAAAGAACTTTGTCTCCTCATTTCACAACATAAAAAATAACATTAAAAGAAAACCACAAAGGATTTTATGCTCCTTCATGATAAAAAGTAACAAACTATACACTTAGTTGTCTTGGACAAGGGCAAAGAAAACTTGAACTTGCATTCCAGTTAAAACCCCTTCAGCAGGAAAATAAAGTATAAACAGAATAGTCACAATTTCAAACAAATTCAGAAACCTATCTACAAAAATATTTACAGCGAATCTTTGCACACAAACCATAACACCTGCTTCTAACCCAAGAGTCACGTCCCTTTGCAGTAAGGAAACATGATGTGACAGTCCACCAGATCAGGCAGTGAATCAGACATTTGGGTCGATTCCTGGATACCCTGTCTAACCACTAAAGAAATTTTAATTAGGACACCCACAATGGTTACACCACATGGTCAAATAGGACTGAGCTACCACATAACAGTAGCCGGTACCACCTGTCTTCTGTTAACGCCGAACCCTGATAGCCCAATTGTGAAAACGGCTTTGGGCTTAACAGCACATTAGTGGTGGATATTGTCTTATACTAGGAAGAGGAAATGCAACCTGAAAACTTTTGTTATGGAAGGGCTGTCCTTAGCCTTGACTGAAAGATGGTTTAGGAGGGAAGCTCTGACAGGCGGACAGATAGAACGCTGCTCTTCTGCTGTTTGCTTTGTTTCCAAATGTACTGGTGTTACTCTTCCTATGCAGTAAACAAGGCAGGTCAAGAGGGATCAAAATGCATGGGCAACATATGGTCTCTACGATACTGCCCAGGCTTTGTGTTAAGTAGTACTTTTCTTAACGCTGGCGGGTCTTGCTAGCCACATTCGCCATTGCCATTCGCTTTGAGTCACACGCCTTCTCATTTAAACATGCCAATCCTATGGTTAACACCAGCTCTGAGTGTAACCTGTCACCTCGACCATAGACAGTGTGCTACTGCAGTGATTCTTTAGACAAAAATACCGGGGTAGTGCACAGGTGCTGCACATTCCAAAGATATATTTTCAGGCCTCTGAGCATCCCCGAGAAACATGAACAACTGATACTCTCAATTAAATAAAATAGCATTGTTCAGAAGCAAGTGCTTAATGAGAAATGTTTCACAGAAAAAGTACACAACACAATCTCTCTTACAGGACATTAACAACCACCGTGATGCATTTATAAAGTAAAACAAATGAACTAACACACAATTTTTTTTAAAGTAAAGCACACAAAATAGTAAATATTTACATGCCACTTGGACATACTGGGCATATTCTTGTCGTTTACTCATTTACACCCGATGTGGCACACAGGTCCTCAATCAAACAGCCCTATCCTGTGACAACGTGCAGCTCATTTGTCCTACACACCCTTTCCTTTAATTTTCTCAATGTATGCCTTATCCGATAACAGCGTCTTTTCCTCACCTCTTGATCCACTGATATTTTAGCTTTTCCCCAAAGTTTTAAATCACTGATTCTGTTATGCCATTTAATAATACATTTTTTGCGCAAGTATCATTAAATGTATTTGTTATTTTCTTAGCAGTTATTTCATGAGATGTGTTAGAGCAGTGGCTCTGGACCTTCCTAATGCTGCGACCCTTTAATACAGTTCCCTCATGCTGTGTCCACCCCAGAACACACACATATTTTTTTCATAACTTCAATGAATGTGTTTTCCTACGGTCTTAGGTGACCCATGTGAAAGGGTCGTTTGATCCTAAAAAGGGGTCGCGACCGGCAGGTTGAGAACTGCTGGTTTAGAGTGATGTTCCTAATGGCCAAACAGCACACATAATAATCAACATTACACCAGCCATCAACAATTAATCACTGGTATATATTTTATAAAGTGAGGAACCACAATCAACTCAACTGTGACTAGTGAGGACCAAACATACTGACTACTAAACTGATAGGCAGTGCACTAAACACTAAGAATCAAACAAAAAATAAAGAATAAAGTAATATTTCAGAAACAGAAAAGTCATAAGAATCATCTACTAGATACAAGTGTATGAATAACTAATCAATACCCTTCACAGTAAATTTATATATATTTTTTTTTAACAAGACATTTCCGAATCTTATCCACTGGGCTGCAGCTGATAAACATTGTGGCTGCTTTAATGATCTTAAAGCTCTACTGTAGACAAACTAGCTAAAAAATATTCTTGACAATCAATAACCAACTGATAACCACCAGCAAGTAAACAAATATAAAAAAACAGTAGCTGCTAAATTTCTGTAACATCAGTGTCACATATTTAGCCATTCGGGCGGACACAGCTGGTAGGAACTTGTAGTTAAAGATTATTAATGTAACTACTCCCTTTCGGCTTTGGTCACTCAACTCAGATAAGATCAGCAACTGAAAAAGAAAACATTTCAAAATATTGAACATGTTGCAATATGGTTTTAGATTACAGCAAATATTTTTTACTAGCTGTACCCGGCCATGCGTTGCTGTGGCTAAGCAAGGCTAGATGGGTAAGAAAAGAAAACAGCTGCTCTCTTAGTTAATATTTTCTGCCATCACCCCCCCCCCCCCCCCCAAAGGATGTGAAAGGTGATTTTTTTTAAAACTGACCTTGGCCTCCGTGTCCACCCAGATTTAAGTGGGTGGCAGGAATTGCAATGAGAAGTAAATGCGGCCAGGGTAATATTTACCACATCACCCATCAAGTACCAGTACTACTACCACCACAACAACTAAATAACTATGTCACTACTGTCTGTTTTACCACCTTTTTAGGCTGGTGCAGACCGGGGGTCGTGAGCCTGAGGATTTAGGGCTGCATGGCTAGTGCAGTTGCCACGGACTGTTCAGGTTAGGATGTTTAATTTTGCCCCTGACAGAAAAACTCCCCATCACATTACTAGGTGGTCGAATCCGGGTCTTCTGCATGACAGCCCGACGTTGTTACCACTCGGCCACACACAACAACCACAACTGTTCTGCTACCATTACCACTGCTGCTAACAAGGAGCAGATTATCTTGCGGGCAAGGCAGTTATCCTGACTTCACCGACATGGGCAGTAGTGATGTCATTAATCTCAAGTGAAATGCATATCGCTAAGAAGATCTGTGTCGAGGGTGGTGGATATGGGAGTACAGCCTGGAGCAGCCAGAAAAAAGGGTCAAAGTTACGTAGGGGCTATTTTAGGATCAGATATCTCGAATATCCGGTGGCTCGCTCAAACAGGTAAAAGCATGTTTTTTTAATTTTTTTTTATTTTACCCGTCACATGTCAACTTTAGGAGATTAACGAACGATTAGGAACAAACAAACATTTTTGTTTATATAGATTCCGTCTTTCATCTTGCAATGGAAGACGGATACTCTTAGCAATAAACTACATGAAAAATGAGATTAACATATGTAAATAATGCCTGCCACTAAGAGTGACTTAAAGCAGTGCTTTTCAACTGGCGGTCAGTGACCCAAAAAAGTTATACTCTTCCCAGATCCAGGAGATGTGGATCTAGGAAGAAAATGAGTAACGCCCATGGAGAAAAGATATGGTTTCAGTTTTTACGTAATTATCGCTATGTCTAATGCAAGATATATATATATATCACTTGTCCTAATCCACGTAAGCTTGCGTTCCAAGTCAGATGCACTGCTTTGTTCCCACATCATACACGTTTGTTTGACAAAATAATTTCAAGTATGACATAAGCTGAAGCAGAAAACACTCACCATTCATGGGCATTTCATCAATCTGTGTGGCATAGTATTGTTCAATATCTCTCAAAATTCTGATGTCATCATTCTTCACAAAATTGATGGCCACACCCTTGCGACCAAATCTGCCTGAACGGCCAATTCTGAAAAGAGTTACAAATTGTTACACACAATGTTTTGGCTATAAATCAAAAGGTTGAATGCAAAAAGTGGACAATGTCCTGTCTTGCAAATGACACATTATTATTATTTTTTTCCTCCATGTATTCTCACTCTATAGGAAAAACCCCTAATTAGACATCTTTACAACTAGCAGGTAGATAGGAAGGTAGTTTTTGGTGGTGAATTGATGGATGACAAGCTATATGTTGTGAGGGCCCTTTGAGGGCGAGTGAACAGTACAGAGGCACAAATAGATCATTATGGTCTGGAAGGAATGGCAAAGAGTTACCGGGGAATCTGCCCGATGCTCAAGGGAAAGGGGAGACGGATACACAGCCAGACGGTTATGGTGCCATTGCAATAGGAACTCTTTGCTTGCTGCTGAAGATGGGGGTGGAGCACTTACTGGAGTATGCTGAGTGCTATATTGATTCTAAATTCAACAACATGCAAAAACAGGTTGGCTAGTGTACCAGTGCTGTCGTTAAATATTACGGTAAGACTATGATCTCTTCTGTGGTGCAACTCTCGTACCATTGTCTGAAAACTACAAGAACACTTTTTTCAACCACTCACAACTAGGAATGAACTCTTGTACTCGAGGTAGCTGCTTTCCCTAACCTCTAAGCCAGGGAGCCAAGAAAGAAACACTGCTGCATTTCTGCGCATTCCCCGACTGTTCACTTGTGGACTTATCTTGTTCCAGAACTTGAGTTTTGCATGCACATCCGTTTTACAAATCTGGCTTATCTGCATGCAGACTGTTGGTCACTTACCTCAAAGGCAGATGCACTCTGACTTCAGAGGAAAACCCCTAATTAGTCAACTATTACGACATGCTTATTATTATTAGGGAGGCAGTAGGTCTTCAAAATTTCAACCGTTGCATGATGAAAGATGAGCTTACCTGTGTATGTACAACTCTCTGCTGTTTGGCAAGTCATAATTAATGACCAGCGACACTTGCTGAACATCGATACCTCTGGCCCAAACATCGGTTGTGATCAACACTCGGCTAGTTGAAAGAAAACAAAACTGGTCAAAATTCAAAGTACAAAATAGAACATACAGGCTAATTAGCATTATTTGCACAATCTTCTTTTTGTTCGCACAAGTGAGGTAATTGTGTTGTGCCTCCTGTTTACAGTACATCTCCAATATTTGCACCTTTTGGTCAACACATCCAGCTGTACCAGGCCGAGCTAGCCTTCTAGGAAAGTTTTGTGGGACATGACATAGCTTTACTTTTGTACTATCTTCTTTGTCTCTGCAGAGCCCGTTCAGGTCTCTTTGTAACACAATGGAACAGAGCTGTGACATGTCTCGAAACATTATGCAAGACTATGGATTTAACCATTTTACCTTGCGAACATCTAAAGAAAATGAGCCATAAACACAGGAATTCCCGAGAAATCTTTTTTTTTTAAAGCACATTACAAAGGTCACGAATAATGCTCTTTAAAAATATATCAACAATTTTTGGGGGTTGTGAAATATATAAAGGGGTAACTGCTAAACATGAATATTACATGAAATACATGTCCTGACACCTAAACAAAACAAGTATCAGGCAACTTATCTCATGACCTCAATCATTGAGACTCAAGGGAAATTTTACATCAACTATTTGTTTAAAAAAAATAACAGTGGTCATCAAGGAATCCCTTAAATGCTTTAGTTACAAAATTAATATCCTGGTCAATCAAACACTGTGCAGGCACACATACAAACTGCAGAATTTAACTACAATTTTTGTTAGGTTACTGCAAAAATGGCAATATATTAAAGTTTTTTGAGGTGATAGGATTACCATCAATGTTACAACAACTTTCTCCTACCTGCCACCAGATCGGAACTCTTTCATGATAGTCTCTCTCTCCTTCTGCGGCATGTCTCCGTGCATGGAGGACACTGTGAAATTGGCCTCTCTCATCTTGTCTGTCAGCCAGTCAACCTTTCTCTTTGTGTTGCAGAAGATCACTGCCTGAGTGATGGTCAGGGTGTCGTAGAGGTCACACAAAGTGTCAAACTTCCACTCCTCACGTTCAACAGCCACAAAGAACTGTTTGATTCCTTCCAGGGTCAACTCATCACTAAAATATAAGCATTACAATGTCACGCACAAGATGTTAATAATGAAACACTAACTAAAGCAAGAATAAATAATATCTGCACCAATTACTGTAAAATAAGAAAACAAAGAAACACAAAACAAAGAGCTATGAAATGGCCATAAAGGCATATTACAATTGCTAGATGTAAGAACACAAGAGAAAACTAACCACCTGCGAGATGCGATGTTTGAGAATGGCTGTGAATAAAACCAGAAGAGAACAAGTGAGAAACTATGTGATTACAATAACTGTGAGAACAACACCCATTGTCAAATTTATTGAGAAACTAAGAATGAAATGGTTTGGCCATCTAATATATATAAAACAAACGATGCCAGCAGCAAGAGTGCACAACCTAAAAATTTAAACACCAAGAGTCAGGGGAAGACCAAGAAGGATATGGACTGAAGAAGTCACTGACATCTTGAGCCTGCATAACATAATGGCATATCAAGCGACCGAGCGCACCCTGGCTTGGCTGCCGATCATTTGATAAACTGTGACGCCCAGCAGGATAAAACAGATATTGACAAAAGAAGAAAGTGTAAGTTGTTAACTGTTTACAACTACCATTTATTCTTTATCTTCTGTACAACTATCTCAAGAGACACCCTGAGATGAACACAGCTGAAAGAGGTCAAAGGTGCTGGTGTATTGCACCCAGGGTTAAGGAGAGTCAAGAACAGACATCACAGCACTCAGGGTATTCCCATGAGCACTCCTTCCTCATCCTCAACAACCAGCACAAAGATTCCAATATCTGATTATATGTCCGTCTCGCCTTTTCGGAGTGTAATTAGCTGGCCAGACCAGACCCTCTGGTTACACACAGGTGCCTCATTCTCTCAAGGCAATAATAATCTTGTTTCTCTTCTGACTTTGTTACTTGTTCCCAAAGGGCCTCAACCACATCTGCTGTGTCATAAATCTGCATGCATCAAATCAAGCATACAAATTATAAAAAGATGATCATTATGCACTAGATAATTAACGTTTGCAGTCAATCAGCAATTATTTTAGTAATGAGAGAGACCAATTGTATTTTAGTGGAATTTATTCAGTTTTAGTGCTTTTTATTTGGTAATGAAACTGTAGTAATGCATCTGACGAGAAACTGCTAAACATGTCTGGCAATAAATTGTACAATGCATTGTTTGCGTCGGTACTATTCAAAATTAGCACAGGGAAGCCCTGTTTCAAATTATTTTAGCCTTTTAAATAATTATCTATGTTTTATCTATGCATCAATTTAACCAGCAAAGATTAACCAATCTGAAATAAACACCTTCAATACCTGTCCCACCATGGGACACAATTTTTCATTACTTTTTTTAAGCCCCACTTCTGAATAGTGGCACTGTGTCACCATGTGTTGGTCGCTTGTTGTACGGTCCTTGTGGGGTTGGATAACACACACAACCAATCTGAATCCCTATGGCATAACATGCTATATTTGAAATACAGATTTAAACAACCATTCTCACAATAACAGAAACCCTACCGTTTGACAAGGATGCGAATGGGGTCTGTCATGAACTTATTTGTCATCTCCAAGATTTCGTGTGGCAGGGTGGCTGAGATCAGAACCACCTGTGTGGCTGGAGGCAAGTATCTGTACACATCATAGATCTGCTCCTTGAAGCCTATCACAGGAAAGAAAAACAAATTTGATTAAAATGTATGGAATTTTTAGTACAGTTACAGCTACACCAGTGTTTACTTACTGCTCCGATCTACAGCTATTACATTTTGCATGCTTACTGTTCATATCTCTTGTCTACAACAGTACAGGTTCTTCTCAGCATTCATTGGTGGAAAGCTCTGATTGTTCGCCTACTCCTGGACTTAAGTCTTTCACAGAACCTGAGTTTTGCATGCACATTAGTTTTACATATGTGGCTTATATGTATGCAAATTGTTAGCTCCTCGCCTCTCAGGGAGATCCATTTTGACTTCCAGGAAACATCCCAAAAAATGTTAGAGAGCAGCAGTGGATCCTATTCTTTTCCCCCAAAAATTGGCTTTAGAACCCACAGTGGGGGGTATGGGTTCTATTAGGGCTTAACGTTAACATAATCTCACTGGAACTGATTACTGGTATGTTCACTTTGCAAAAGGCTGTTACTTGATTTGCTACTTTTAAAAGCTGACACACATAATTTATAAATTAGGTGTAGTAAACAAGCCAAACAATTTCTCAGAAATCTCAGAGATGTGGTTTTACAGAAGTATGCTTAAAATTCCCTGGACAGCCAAAATTAGTAATCCTGACATTTTGGAAAAAGGATCTAGTCCCAAGACAAATTATAACTAATACAGGAAAGAGACTGTCATGATTGTTGGCCACATTATTAAAAGAAAGAAACTGGTACATGCTGTGACGACAGGAAAGACTTGTGGAGAAAGATAAATGAAGCAACATGAGAACATTCTTGACAGTGTTGTCTTGGTATGGAAGGGTGTCAGCATCTGAGCTGATACATGCAGTTGGAGATCCCCAAGTTGTGGAGAGGTATTATTGTCGGTCGGCAAGACCCCTGATGATGAATACATCTTAAAAGAAATCGCGCGAACTTAAAAACACCAAAAGTTTCCAACTCATTCAGACATGTCATAATAAGAGAACTTAAAATATAGTGCAACATGAAAATTGTAAGGTAACAGTAAAGAATAAAGGCCAGATAGAAAAAGAGGCAGTCTGATACTATGATAAGCAGAATCATCTATATGGGAGATGATTGGCCACAGATGAAAAGAAAAAAAAAGAATGTTGCAGAAAACACAATTCTAACAAATTTAAAGAACTACGATGATACCTTTCTTAAGCATCTCATCTGCTTCATCAAGGACCAACATTTTAATTGATCTTGTGCGCAGATTTCTTCTTTTAATCATATCTGAAAAGTAAAAAGGTTCATACCTGTTTCAATGAGCAGCCATTAATGTACACAGTAAATACAACTTAACAAATACTTAAAACACTATCATGCTAATAACCAAAGGCCAATAGATGTACATTTTATTAACAAAGAAAAATAACACATTTTTTAAAAGAATGGCTTTGATATTAAGTAAGTTGCGTACATTTTACAGGACGTTGCAGAACCAACCCCAGCATTTTTTGGTTGTTGTGGGTTTTCTAGGCAAATTTTATGTTCAGTAGTTTTTTCAAATTTTTTTTTTAACCATCAGCTCTTGGTACCACCCTCGAAACCAACACAAAACAAACTTCCCTCAGCTGAATCGAACCCGGCACCCCCATATTATGAAGTGCCTTCGCAACATCTAAGCCACAGATGCCGACTTCTTTGGTGTAAGAATTTAATATAGATTTGGGTGGAAACAGTGACCAAATGTCTGTCTACACTGGGTACCAGGCAATGTCTTGGGTAGAACTTAAGTGTTGCATGCACATCCAGGAAATGTCTTGGGTAGTACAGACAGTTGACAAGCTGTTGCCAAGAGGAACCAACAGTTCTATAAAAAAAGTTGATCTTGCACCATTTGCTTGAAGAGAAGTGTGAAAAGGTCCTTTTCTGGAGATATACAACGAAATGATAATCCTAAGGTAGAAACTATCAGGCTGTGAGATGCTAGGCTTTCACATTATAGCCACAGTATGTTTTGATCAGTTCTATGGAAGCAAAATAAATGTGTGCTTGTTCACCCAATACTTTTTTTGGACTCAATTGTATGCAGATTGTTGATTCCTCACCTCACAGGCAGATGCATTTCAACTTTGAAGAAAGCCCCTAATTAGTTGACTCTTACAAAATGCATGTTAGGAAAACAGTGGGTCTATTTTTGTTCACCCAATACACATGTGTATGTTGCCGGCACCTATCTGTCCTAGACAACAGTGTTTTACCGTACAATATGGAGACATGGGAAACATAGCTCATAGCAATGGGCAGCAAGACCAGCTTGTGTTAACCCTTCTGTCCCGAGATGCTGAAAACCGACACCCCCGGTTCGGTCAACTGCATGTAAATGTCACTTTTCCAACTTGTCTTAGTGACCTGTTCACTAGATGCATGATTTCAATGGTCTTTTTTTGCTTGCACAAACATTTAGGTCATGGAATTAATACCTCCATCCTCCCCAATTTTTTTTTTTACAGGGGTTTGCTTTAAGCTAAATAGCTTTGTTAAAGCCACTTTGACATGTTCCTGTAAGCCTGAATGATGGAGGTCACAGCATCAGCCACCAAATACAAATGTTTTATAGGGCTTAGAAAATGTATTCCATTTACCGATTCATCCTGTTCATGCTAACTAATTATTCCCCTCACATATTTTAAAGAAAAAAAAGTACAAATAAAAATGTTGGTGAATATATTGGCATCTGTGTAAAAAAAAATTTCTAATTCTAATGGGATCACGACATGTCTCGTATAAATCAAGAAAGCTATCACAAGAAGAAAATAACCACACAAGTTCTTCTTTGGGTTCCCCAACTGTAAACTAAGGTGAAAATGTATAGTTGTTTGTCCACTTCTTGACTTAAATCCTGTTCTAGATGTGTGCACATCCATCTGACAGATCTGGATAGTGTGTAAGCACACTGTTGGTTCCTTGCCTCTCAGACAATTGTACTCCGTCTTCGAAGGAAGCCCCTAATTAGTCAGTACTTACAACATGCTTGTTGGGGAGGAAGTTAGTCTATTTTGTTCCCCCCCCCCCCCCCACCCCTACAATGAGCTGCTTTCAAAATGTTTAACCTTAAACAGAGAAATGTATAACTATTTCACTGATCCTGCAAGCCAATCACTGTAAGTCCATTGAGAAGGGAATAATTGCCCAGTGAGTCTACGTCATACTCAAAGCTGTATAGAACTGCAGAGAAACCCTCAAAATATAATTGTATCAAAAGAACTGATCTGTCCCTGTTAATTTGAGGAAGTTTGGGTCAAGGTTTCAACTTCACTGAAATCAGGTTTCCCTATACTTGTTCTGTTCCTCCGCCAGAATAAATCAAATTAAATGTCTCTTATTGTCATTTTTGAAAAACTGGTGAACAAACAGTCCTGGAACAATCCAGAAATATGTGCATGCAGTAAATGTGCATTTTAGTTGCTAGAGGCACCAAAGACAAAAATCGCCACCAGAAATGCAGTCTGTCGATGGGAGCAGTCGGGCACAATAAGTTGCTACAATACACGTGTAGAATTATTACACAAAGTATTTCACTAGCACACATGCAAACCGGCTACCAGCCATTTTGAACACGACACATAAACTGCACAAATAAAAGACCAAAAACACACCTTACAGGGCTGCACCATGGCACTAAACTCAGTAGCTCAGACAGCAAAACCGTAGACTAACGTCCTTATGTGCAAACTGCATTAGCAAAGTGCTGTGAGAAGCAAAAATAACTTCAAAGCTAAACATTCTGCCAAGCATTCCTTCTTTTTAGGCCAGAAGTCCAACATAATTTCAGGAAGTGACCAAAAGAAGAATAACCATACAACATGTTGACATTAGGTCTATTGCGCCCCCCCCCCCCCCCCCCCCCCCCCCCCCCCCCCCCCCCCCCCAAATAAGCCTCGGAATCCATATGGGGGAAATAAACACATGACAAAACAACAACTCACCAAACACTCTCCCGGGTGTTCCAGATACCACATGCTGCCCATAGTCCAGTTTTCTGATGTCCTCCCCCACATTTGTGCCACCGATACATGCATGGCACTGGACATTCATGTAGTCTCCCAGGGCTAAAATAACCTGTGGGATCAAGCATGTGCACAGACATGTCAAAAGACTGCAAGTCTCAAACAAAGCACAAGCACGGAAGAATAAATGTAGCTATGCTTGAAAGACAATCTTCTTAGAATTCTTCAGCTTAAACTCAGGCGGAAAGTTCTGGTTGTTCGTTTACTCCTAGACTTTAGTCTTAAAACAGAACTTGAGTTTTGCCTGCCCATCTGTTTTACAGAATTAGCTCATTTGTAAACAGGCTGTTTGGTTCCTTGACTCTCAGACAGATGCACTTCAACTCTCAAGGAAACACCCTTATAAATCATCTTATATCATGCTTGTTTGTGGCGGGGAGGGGGTCTATTCTTTGATTTCCAAAAGAATGCCATTGAACCCACATAGGGAGGAAACAAAATTATATGGTCTTAAAATGCACACGCACAAAGGAATAAATGTAGCTATGCTTGAAAGGCAATCTTCTTAGAATTCTTCAGCTTAAACTCTGGCATAGAGTTCTGCTTGTTCATTTACTCCTGAACTTTGGCCTTGATACAGAACAGGTTTTGCATGCACATGTTTTACAGAATTAGCTTATTTGTATACAGTCTGTTTGGTTAATTCTAATATCTCAGTTGTAACACATGCCATATGGGTAAGTTTGGGAATACAGCATTAGAGATTAAATGCGTTCAAAAACAAATGCACAACAAACGGATGAACCTTAAATAGCATGAATTCAGGGAAGGCAAAGAAATAGAGAAATGGCTGGACAACCACTGGTATCAACAGTTCTTATAATTAAAAAAAAGATGGTGCTCAATTGGACACATTCTGGCAAGAAACAGAATTACAAACAGGCACTTAAATGGGAAACAAATGGAGTGAGGAAAATATCTCCAAAAGTAACCCTAAGACAAACTGTGAGAGGTCAAAGATGCAGGTCTGGATTCCATCCATGATACTGACAGACAAGTACGGATAGAATGGGGAAATAACTGCCACCACTATGTGACATATAAAAGCACAGCAGGATGAGAAGGGTTATAAGCTTGCAAATAAAGCCTACACTGAGTTGTTATGCAAATGTTCATGGATAATTATTTAGAGATCCAATTATTTCTCACTGTAGTCTGTAATTTGTTGATCAAATGGCAAAGATATGAACTGAATACAGGACAAGCATTATATATGCCAATATGTTTCACCACATGGAAAAGGGTCGCTACATACCACAAATGACAGCATATAATAATAGGAATAAGGACACAAAACAGTATAATCAAATCTAGTCATTAAGTACAGGTACACACAAAAGCTACCTTTTGAATCTGTGAAGCCAATTCTCGGGTAGGAGACAAGACGAGAGCCTGAGTTTCTCGAACCTGGGTATCCAAACACTGCAAGATGGCAATGGAGAAAGTTGCTGTCTTGCCAGTACCTGATTGTGCCCTGTGATAAATATACATAAATCACTGGAAAGATCTGACATTCAAGTGAACAATACAGTAGGTGGGGTTGCAAAGAAAAACTATGTGTGATGCATTCTTCTTCTTCTTTCACAGGCTGTAAGCTCCAGAGAAAGGTCCTAGATATTTGTCAACTTAGACTTTTGCTTTGTGCTAGGGCCCAAGTTCTGCGTGTACATCCGTTTTACTGGCTTATTTGTGTACAATTGTTGTTACTGGCAGATGAACTTGGACTGTAAAGGAAGCTCCCAATTAGTCGATATGCATTTTTGGGTAGGCAGTGGGTCTACTCTAGTTTTCCCCACGATGGGGCTCTGCAAACCACACAGGGAATGTGTGATACATAAAAGGTAATCAGCTGATATCTCCAAAATTATTCACATCTGTCTTTTGGCCTAGCTGTACGCCAGCTGTAAAATGTTGTCCGCCTCTTGATGCAGTCCTTCTGTTGGTATCAATTTGGTCAACAACACATTTTTATTGAGTCAATCAAAATAGATTCCATTTCATAAGTTGTAAAATGGGCCAATTCCATTACTACGTATCTTATTTTACTGCATTTGTGAAATATGACACATTCTCCTGTATATCTACAGGACTTAAACTGTCCAATTCCATGTTCTGTGATCAGATTTTCTTTGCCATATGGTAGAATTAAATATACATATTTAGAAAAAAATTTAATAAGCTTTGCTCAGAAAAATAAGACTTCAGCATGTGATGCACTGAACTTACATTTTACTTGAGAATTATTATTGTATTTTTGGTTTTCAAGGCTGTTTTCATTGAACAGTAAGCATATATTGAGATGTACAGAAAATTTGCCAGGAAAGGTGGTTGGTGATCAAAATGAAATTTTTGCAACACTGATAATACATGGAACTACAGCAAATGATAAACAGTGGTTGTGTAAAGCAAAACAAAAATTATCTCAGTCTGAATAATTGGAAGATAGAAGTAATGATGCCTTGAAATAAACGAGCAATGCCTTAAAATACAATTAAAGTTGAAGCTATTAATTTGGTACAAGTCAACAAACACAGCACAAAGCCTGAGCAGTATTGCAGAGGTCATGTGTTGACCAGGTAATATGATCCTTCTCTCTACCAAATTTTTTTTTTTTAGTCTAATAGGAAAAAAAAAACATGTGCCTGGAACAAAGCATGCTAATTCCAGTAATGAGGGACATGGATATCAAATGAGAGATAGGTCCCAGAGATACAGGCAGTAGCTTTTTGGTTGGAGGTTGCAAGTTGACAAAAGAACAGGCTAACATCAGGATGACTTACTGTGCAATGACATCTCTCCCTTTCACCACTGGCTTGATTGCTCTTTGCTGAATGGCAGAAGGTTTTTCAAAGCCTAAAGAAATACAAAAAATGTTAACTTCTAGCAGTTAACACAGCATCTGACAACCAATTTATTGCATTTATAACCATTACATTCAAAATGTGTCATATTTGTTGTAATAGCAAATAAACTGAAATGAAACAACTACACTCATTTACTGCCGATACTAGCAATATTTAATAATAATTACAATAGTCGACACAATCACTCAGCTAATTTAACAGGAAATACAATATTAAGCAACAATAATAGTTACTATTTAACAAATGTAACAAGCTGAGGAGCAAAAATATCAAAAATATCTTGGACCTTCCAGGGTCATTGTCGATTAAATCCATCCTGATTTGAGGCTTAGATATCTTTGTCATGAATGAAATGAAGTTTTACGAATGCTGGGGTGTAAGCCCCACACTTCAACACTAAACCTGGTGGACGTCTTTCACTGTCTGTTCTCTAACCTTTAACCTGCTCGTTATGGGAGGCCCTTTTATTAGTTACATAACTACCAGCGTAGCTCTCGGTATCGCAGAAGCATTCCCCATGTGGATTCCTGGGGCTCCATTAAGGGGAAAACAAGTCATGTCGTGAGAATAAACTAAATTGGGGTTTTCTTGGAAGTATGAGTGCATCCTAACAAGAATTAGAAAGGAACCAATGGTCTGCACACAAATAAGTCACAGATGTGCATGCAGTGCTCAGGTTCTGGATCAAGACTAGAGATTTGGATGAACAACCAGAACTTTCAGCTGAAGTTTACAATCAGTCAACATGAAGAAGAAAACAGAAGCGCTGGCTCCCCCACTACTTTATGGTTAACTGGTGGCGACACCTTCATGGGGGCAACAAAAGTACAACACTGGGAGAGGAAAATAATCATTCAAGGAAGCAGAACAACTGTGGATCCTGGAAGTCTCCTGTTGCACTCGCTTCTGTGTGGAGTGTTTACTACAGGGCCTAACCAGTGTACTAGTGTACACAAATTATTTGTAACTCCACACATGTAAATGTCATCAGTGAGTGGCAAAATCAAAATCTGAGTTAGGTATTCTGAGTGTCAGTGCCTGTCTCATTTACATATAAAATCGACATTGTTACTCTTCAAAACAACTTACAGAAATAACTATTCAGTAAAAAACGAGTTAAATTATCACTAGTCTTGAATGATGGATAAACGACATAATAAAACCGTCATCATCCTCATAAACCACTTCTCCCTTTAAGCGTCCTGAGGAGGAATAAGTTGCGATCCAGTGCACGTTGGCTGCCACTGGCTACTGTCATGCCATGAAGGCGTAGTGTCTTTAATGTTGTCGATTCATATTTTCCGCTGCCGTCCTCTTGTAGCTGATCTTCTGAAATGTAGTGCTAGTGATGTTATTTGATCTTGTGGCATTCTAACAAGATAGCAAAACCCCTTGATCTGCTGTTTCTCAATGAATCTGGTACAAGGTGTCGTTCTCACAATTTGCCTGATAGTTTAATTATTTACTCATACTTCCTAGATATTTAAACTCCCTAACAGAGCAGAACCATTCAGCTGTATGTGTAGTGGGGCAGGGGTTCTACTAACTTGCATTGTTTCGCCTTTGTTTACATTGATCTTCATGTTGTATTTACTGCATGCTGAGTTTAACCTGGAAATGTGGTCTATCTTCTTCAGGGTAGAACAAGCACTGGTCGTCAGCAAATAGTAGTTCGTTTAATGTGGGTGAATCGATAACTTCTGATGTGTGTACTTAATTATGATTATAAAGGTCTATGTTGTCTGTATCATAGGCTCTCCTCAGAACTTCTACCCCGGCATTATGGCGGCCATAAAATATCCTTACGGGGCTAGTTTTATTAAAAATATGCCGGCTCCATATAACGAAACAAATGCTTTAACAGGGTCTCAGCGATATGTTACTTGCGGACCTGTTTCTTATTGTTTCTGATTACCTGACAATTCTAAAAGACACAACACTGCAGACGATAGTAGCATATGATAATAGCGACCGTTGACACTTTCCATTGCTGGAGTTTCTGCAGAGGAACAAATATGTAAAATGCGGACTTGACGGACTTTCTGCCGACGAACAAATCACGGCAAACCTTCGTTGTTAACATATAATTATAGCATTCCTGTCGGAAATAGTTGTAGTTGACAATTGTGTCCCAGCTCGTCAGTCTCTCGAAGAACATCACATTCGTCAGCTTGACATCAAAGAGCCAGTAAAACATCATCATGACTATTTTCTCAGTTGACATGTTGCATCTGGCAAAGAACGAGCCAGTGCGCATGCTACACTCAGTACTACAGCGCCACGAGTATCTGTCAGAGGCCACCTGCTGCGCTGCCAATGACATAGCACCCTGGCAGGAAGAACATAACTGCGTGTTGCGTATTAGCCTGTGGGTGGCTAGCCATTGCAACCAGACCAGTTTATCGGTCATTACATTACTAGATGCAAATCGACAGGTCTCACATCTACCGCTGCTTAATCCTCAAACCGAAGAACAGTGTCAGTATCGCTAATCTGCATCGCAGGGTCGTGTCGTATCCCCGCCATGTCGCTTTTATCAGCTGCACTGTTGCGTGTCTCGACATTGTCAACGGTCTCTTCTATCGTCTGCAGTCGCTATTATCGTCTGCGGTGTTGCGTCTCTTGACATTGTAAGGTACTCCTAGTTTTGCCGCAATTTGTTTCTCGGCAGGAACTCCAACAAGTCCGCATTTTTTATAGGACTGAGTCCCGTAAGGATATTTCAGGCTGCTATAAATGATAATGCGGGGGCAGAAGTTCGGAGGAGAGCTGTATGTATCACAGCTTGCTTCTTTAGAATATATACTGTCTATATAAATAAAAGCGGGGAGAGCACACATCCCTGTCTCACACCTGTATTGACTGTGAAAATATCTGATATGCCTTCTTGTGTTCTTATTGCACTTTGGCTTGTGTGGTACATGGCTATGATGTTCTCTAGGCCTAGCAACTACAGTTTCGGAAATTTGCGATCTTTTCGACAATTTCCGTTACCATAGAAACCGTTTGAAACTTGTTTCGGAAATGTCGGCTGGGGTTTCGGGATGGGTCCTAATCTCTCATGAAATTTTGCGATTGGTGTGGTTTTCACCCACTCTAAATAGCTGAAAACGGCGGGAAGGAACTCGATTAACAGCGCATGTCTACGACAGCCGGACGTCCTCTGTTTTTCTGTTAGTCATCAGTTTGATTGAAAATAGCGGTAAATTCGAGGTTGGCTTTAGGCTTTAGCTGTTACTGTACCTGGTAATGCTAGTTATAATTGAATTCTCCGTCCAATTTTACATTTGTGTATAAAATTTCTTTCTGGTACGTGGCTAGGTAGATGTACAGTGATATTTTTTAGGCAATCGCATGCGGCTGAGTGAGCTGAGTCTCATTGCCTGCCATCTTGTGCAATGACAGTCCAATGTCAACAAAGCCGATACAGAACTGCGCAGTAGGTTGCGCAGAGAAAAACCAGTTTGTTTCTTTCCACTCTATCAAAAGCTTTTTCCTGATCTACAAACAATATTCTGTAATACTGTATATTTTATAATATCATATAAATAAAACCGTATCTAGAAACAAGTTTACATGCATTCCAATCCAATGAAAGTGTTAAATAACATGAAAGATACCTATTATCGAGTCTGTTGACAATCAGACAAGCAAGTGACGTAAACAAGAGTATGTTTGTTAGGGCTAAAATATTATAAATTTACCATATGCGTAGACGCCCCTCAACAATCCTTCTCTCAATCCCATGTGATCAAATGTCGGGGTAACTTCCACATCTTCACTTGTTTCAAATTCAACATTTTTGAGATCTTCGGGCATAACACGTCGCTCCGCCATCTTGAACGTTTGAGAGTGTATGGATGCCACTGCCAGATACTAACTGCCTCTTCCTGTCATACGTCGAGACTCCCTAAAGCCACACCAACCAAAAACACTCCTAGGTATTACTTAGCCAGGAATGGATTTATATTACAAATAAAACACACAAAATAGACAAAAGATAAATAAGACCAACCACTGTAATTAAATATTAAACAACAGGAGGTGTGTTCAGTGTTCAGGTAGAAAGAACCATCGGGGCAACGACAGGACTAAGATCCAGACATGGTCGAGCAGGAAAGAACAGATAGGGACACTGTGCCATTAATTATGGCACATGAACACTTCACCTTGAAGGCCGTCCCAATATAGGACGCTGTTTTTCGATATTTTAAGGCACCACCCCGGCCCTAGTCGGGGGGGGGATCTAATATAACCTAACGTTTGAGCGGGGTTTCTAGGACTTGTGCCCGGGTGATCCTCGTCCGAAAAGTGGCACTTTGAGTCACAGGGTGTTGGTCGTTCGTTGTACGGTCCTGGTGGGATTAAATCACATACACATAAACCTATGTTTAGCTAACAAAGACGGCACAAGAAAACATAGTCACAGTTATAACCAATAGCGTCTTTTTCGAAAGGAGATGGTTGAACGTTACGACTTTTAGTTCTGTTTTACAAAGTCAGCCAGGCAGCCATCATACGTTGAGTAAAATCTGTTTCTTTTTCATCCACTGGCTTTAAACTCCGGCTGACAAGTTATGGTTGTTCATCCACTTCTAGTCTTGTTCCAGAAGTTTTGCATGCACATCTATTTTAAAGATCTATATTATTTGTATGCAGACGGTTGGTTCCTTGCCTTTCAGGTAGATATGCTCCAACTTTGAAGGAAGCTCCTATTTAGTCAACTCTTACGACATGCTTTTAGGCAGGCAATGGGCCGATCTCACCACAGTGGGGACCCGAAACACACACGGGGAGTTGAGTAAAATAAAGTGGGTTGGAATATATACACACACATCTACCTATAATCATTTCAATATGATGCTAACAGGTAAAGGAAGCTAAAATTTATTTGAAAATGTTCTATTATTTTTAAATGATACGAGTTATTTCTAGTGTTGATCATCTGAAATATGTTGCAGTTCAGACATCGCACACCAAATAAGTAGCCAGGCAATCTGCACTTGGCCTGGTGTAAACAGGCATAGCAGTGCCCCAGGGAACAAAACTACGTGTTGTCTCCACAAGGAAGGGTGGCTACACTGCACCCGGAAAATTACACGGCCAGATATCGCTTTTGTCCACGATGGACAGTTGAGTAAGTGGCAGGCATATCCAGAAGGATAGTCCAAGATTCTACTTGGTCCTCATTGTCTTACCTAGCTCATATGTTTTCTTTTTCTTCACGTTCACCGGCTGTAAACTCAGGCGGAAAGTTATGATTGTTCGTCCACTTCTGAACTTTAGTTCTTTTCCAGAGCCTGCTTGTTGCGTACACATCTCTTTTACAGATATGACTTATTTGTCGATCTATCCATTGCTTTCCCAGTCGACATCTAGGTCTGCTTCCATTATGTCTAAGTAAAAGGTTTATCTGTGGGGCAGTATCTGGTTATAGTCTTGACAAATTTCCGAAATATATGTCTGTGTAATGCTTATCCCCCCCCCCCACCCACTTAAAAGTTTTAAAGTTTTCTCAGTCAAACTTTGTTCTTTCTTGGCTTTTGTAATACACGGCTTGATTAAGTGTCTTCGCGTGGGCGACTATGTGTCCCCTACATCATTGCCATTTCATCATCCCGTTTTAGTTTGTGTGATGAGACTTCTTTAGGCCGCCACAAAATATTTTCAAGAACGTTCTCTCTCTCTCTCTCTCTCTCTCTCTCTCTCTCTCTCTCTCTCTCTCTCTCTCTCTCTCTCTCTCTCTCTCTCTCTCTCACTCACTCACACACACACACACACACACTCTCTCTCTCTCTCTCTCTTTCTCTCTCTCTCAAACTCTCTTTGTCTCTATTTTCGTATTTATCTCTTCCATATTTCGTTGTCATAATTTTTTTAAAATTTTGTCTTGCTCGCAATTGATTGAAACCTTTCCGTCTGTCCCGACGATAGTGTTATATTGCGCTATATGAAGACATGGGACTCACAGCCCCTGGCGATGGCGACTGTGACTAGCAAGACCCACCCGCGTTAAGAAAAGTCTTCCACAATTTTGTGTTTCGTCTGTTCTCGAAATAAGGTGGGGGGGGGGGGGGAGATCAGCACTGCTTCTTTTCGAGATAACATGTCTTTACAATTCAGACAAGGTAGATCTGCTGATCTACACAGCATGACGATGGAGGCGTTAGCAGTAACACAAGCTGGGATCACTGGGGTATTTCCGCTTGGGTGCACTGAATCTGATCACCCGCACCGCCACGAGGATAACAGAACTCCTAACTCGTAACACAGCTTTACGTAATTTGATATGGCTGGGGGGGGGGGGGGGGGGGGGGGGGCCCGCCTGTAATTATTCTAATATCTGTTACGAGAAGTTAAAAAGGATAAAGTCGAGAGGATCAACTTCCTTGCACCGGGTTTTATCCCATATGGCTCGGTCTCTTTCCGCAGAACGACTAGCCGCCTGCCGAAAGCCCCGCGAAGAGCACGAACTCCGTAGCTCCAGCAACGATCCCAAGGGATCTCTGTAAAATTTGCCATCGTTAACTGAAGGGCGTACCGTGAAACGAACCCACGACCTTCAGAGCTCAAGTAAACAGTAACCAATTAGAACACCCAAGCCAACCGAGAAACGCAAGACAAAGTCAGAAAACCACAACACTGGGTTGCAACGTGGTATCAGTAAAAACGCATGGGGAGTTGCACGGTACAGAAAAAAAATTAGAATACCGTTTTCAACAGAATGAATTAATTTACTTACAGCAAGACCCCCGTTTTGGAGAACAAAGAATAGATCCGATGCCCTCCAACCCTCACACTTCCCACCCCACATTACCAACCCGCATGTCGGAGAAAGCAAATAAATTAGCGGTATTTTCTTCAAAGTCGGAGTGCATCTGCATGAGAAGCAATCAGAATACAATAAAAACTAGATATGTAAAACGGATATGCACACAACACTCAAGTTCTGGATCAAGAACAAAGTTCAGAAGTAGACGAACAACTAGAACTTTTAGCCGGCGTTTTCAGTTGGTCAGCGCTAAGAAAAAGAAGAAAAAGAATAATAAGGGGACACACAGCAAGACGCTTGCCTCTGTTTACCAGTCTGAGATTTATATGACGCCATACCTCGATCAGAAAGGGACGATATATTGAGTTAAAAGTTGAACAAGTTACATATTCCGCCCCGCCGGCCACGTGGAACGCACTGATTCATGCGAATTAGCTTTGCTGGTTAATATGACGCTCTGGGTCAAAGTCCTACTAGTGCTATTTTGAGAAGTAATGGTAGGCATTCGACACGGTAACACATCTGGTACAGAGACTGTGTTCCTCTAAATAAGGCAGTTGTTGGACAGTTTACACCATACCTTGCAGGAACAATTGGACGGTAAGTTATTATGATCTTATGCATTTGTTGCGTGTGCATGTTTCTGGATTTCTGCCAAGACTTACTGTTTGTTCAGTAGTTTAAAAAATTGAACCTCGTGGGGCATTTCGTGTTTTTTTTTTTTTTTTCCTGGAACAGGAACGAGCAATCACGGAGAGACATTTGTAAGAGTTATTTATTCTAGTTCACACATGGACCCCAGGCAAGTTTCTGTAATGTAGTAATGTTTGCAGACTGACTGCTGTCTTTGCAGTAGAAAGGTGTTTGTAATGTTTACAATCTACCGTTTCCTTGGTCTTTATAGTGCTTTATAACACCACACTGTGGGCATACAGACAGCCATCTTAACAGCATCAAAGGCCTCTAGACTATTTAGTGTACTGAAACCTCTAAGACAATAACTCACTGCAATGACATGTAAATCGTCAATTATATATGCTCGTGTGGCCCGGAGCAAGTGTCTAGCGAGCTCATTGGCACTGCAGGCAGGGTTAGTTTTCTCAGGATAACAAGCATAAGATCGACAAACCACTTTGTTCCTGTATGTTCTCAGGTGATGATGTTGCTTGCTTCTGTTACCACTCGTTGCATTCTTATTGTTGCCTTTACAGCCTTGTACCTCTAGGCGTCGCAGTTCAACAGGTGATTGGTAGCTGAAAAATGGCGTGCCTAGTTGCTTGATGTTGCGAAGTCACGTTTGTCAACGTTCACAGGCTGTAATCTCCGAAGGAAAGCTCTGGTTGTTCGTCAAATTCCCGACAATTGGGTGCACCTCCGTATAGGTGTCAGTGACTTCTTCGATCTGTCTTCTTCTAGCTAGCTTTCCAGCTATCTCTTGTTGTTTCCATTTTCATGTTTCATGTTTTCATGCCGGCATCGTTATGTTTTTTCTCAACTGATGAGGAAACGGGTTAGCTCACATTTTTTTCCCATTAACTTAATGATGGCTTCGTTCCAGTAGTTCTTTTTTTTTTTTTTAAATCTGATAATTTCTCATAGTTAGCGGGGTAGGGGTATTCCCTATCAAAGGAGAAGTAAGACGCCTCCTTTCCTCCGCTAGTCTACGGGACACCCTTGGGCAAGGTGGAGTACCCATTTAGCCCCCCAATCAGGGTTACGTGAAGCCATGGAAGCAGGTGGTGGATGGAGTGTAAGAGCAGCCGACAGGTATTGTTGGTTATGGTCTGCACTCTGCGGCGATAGGCAGATGATCTTATCAGTAGAGACAATGGCTATGGCCACCGACTAGTATAGTCACTGCTCAGGAGGAAAGCAACGGCAAACTACCTTCTGCAAATTTTGCCAAGAATCCATAACAATCATGAAAGAAAACATGGCCAAGGAGAAGATGGGTGCAGGATGTGGCAGATGATCTCCAGATGGGTGTATCAGACGCAGGACATCTTGCTCATGATAGGAAGGTTTTCCGGAGGGTTGTTATGGCAGCGAGGTTCCGCGAGGGACA